TTTTTTTGCAGATTGTGCAGCTCTAGTCTATGACATGTCAGAAATGAGTGAAACATGTAGATTACCATTTCCTAGAGCCCAAGGTTACATCTTCAAATTGTTCGTTTTGTCTGACTGAACTGTCCAAAACCCAAATATATTGAACTTACAGTGACAGATAACAAAAAAAAGGCAGCAAAACCTTAAATTTTAGGGAGAGAGAGCATATGTTTGGCATTTTTTGATTATTCAAATGATTAATTTAACAATTCTACTGATGAAATGCTAAAATATGTGACTATGCTCTACAAAAGGAAAAGGAAAACTACGTTAATAGACGCTGGCATGAATTGAACTGAAGTCAAATTGTCTGAAAATATGAAGAACATATGTCTAAAATCTGACTACTGACTATAATTTCTACCATTAATCAGAACATTTACAGCCCAGGAGGCAATATCAGCCTGGGAAAATAAAGACGTAAAATGAAAAACACCTTGATGTACATGGACATTAATTGAATTACAGCACACTGCCTGAAAATGTGACACACTGGGGACATATATATAAAAAACAATGATTGTGTTTCTCAAACATTTAATTCTATTCTACTAATATTAGATACACGAAATGAATTGTGGCAACACGTCCATTAAGCTTTCCTCAATTAATGGCAACAAAGCCACTTACATTGACATGGTGCATGCACACTCTCTCTCTCTCTCCTACACAGAGTTCCGATTGAGGGGAAATACAAATTTTGGCAGACACACTGGCTCCCATGAAAACAATGAACTCCCAGCTGACATGTAAATAACACCCCTCGTGACCATGTTAATCTCTTCTAGCTAATAAACGATTACAATAAAAAAAGTCAGAAAGTTTCCCTAGGAGGGGATGCGCAAACAAACAATCATGACAGCAGCTGTGTTTTGATGAAGCTGCAGGCTCCAGCTAAGTCCTTCATCATCACACCAGACCTTTCTTCTCAAAGAGATGAAACTGTTACTTGTACTGGAAAACTGGTCGATCCCTGGGAGCCACAGGGGAGTCACAAATAGCTTATCTGCAGCACCCAAGGAAAACAAGTGAGTATTGGAAATAGGGTGTGTGAATGAGTGTGAGGGGATTTACAAAAAGCTGCATGACCACTCATCCTGTCATCCCAACCGCTACATTCTTAAATGGAGGTTTCATAACTAGAAAACAGCTGAATTTCTCAGTATTTGCACACAAAGTCATGAGGACCCTGCTTTACTGTACATGCATGAATCGCTCTGGCTATGTCATGATGTTGTAATGTGCAAGAAATAAATTCAAATGTAACATTTTCAGAGTGAACTTGACCCTCCTCTGGATCTGACAGACGCAACTCCAGGTTTATTGGGTGTACCTATATTGCAACAAACCTGCAATATATCTTAATTTAATGTGCTATAATGTTCACCTACATCACTGAGGGCTAACAAAATATTTGTACCACCTTCAAGCAGTACAATTTGATAGGACCACAAATCTCAGCCTCTAAAATGACCATGAAGTTGAATCGACACCTCTCTAAACCAGATTAACAACAACAAAATGTTATAACCTTTATGAAGGTATGCTTAATAGCAGGGCTGCCTTATTACAGAGCATTATTTTTAGCTACGTGTACCAATAAACTGGCAAGTGTGCATGCATCTGAGTAGCAAGAATGAAAATGTGATGCAAATCTTTCACATGTAACAGTTAACATTCATCACTGACGTACAACTACACCCCTCTTATAACTTGTAGCAGAAGACTTCCTCTGGATGAACACTCACAGATCTAGTTAAAACTTCAAAGGGGCCAACACTGAATGGAGACTAGCTCCAAGAAAGTGGCTGAGCCACTTTCCATGGGTGTGTGTGGCCTAACCATCTGAAATATAGTCCTGAATAACCTCAGGCATTTAGAGAGTAACCCATTTTAAAGCAATATCTCCCTCACAGTTAGCAGATACAGCATGTAATTTGGTTTGGTTTACCAGCTTTCCTGTTCTGTACAAAATAAATGGTGCAGCTTTTGATGATGACATAAATCTTAACTGTGCTAATTTATACATGTAATATTATTACATTTGTAGAAGCAAAGGTTTCCATACCAGTCCTTAAATTATGTTTCATATTCTGGGTTTGTGCCTCTCAATGACCAACCAATCCATGGGTGGTCTTCATAACCTGATTCAAGTTAAACGTCTGCACACACAGAGACTGTCAGCTTTTCCACCATGCTGCATGCATTTTAGTCTACAACCAAGAATGTGGTGAGCCTTAAACATTAACCAACTGTTGGCAAATAATGCAAAGGTGCTGCAGAAGTTGTATGGTCGCTGCTGGTTTTATTAGCCTTGCATGTGAGGTTTCAGGCCGCTGGCAGTGGAAACACCACCCCGCCTCTCCAGCCCAACCTGGAGAGGACAAATCTTTTCCCCGGCGCCTTGTAGCGGCTCCTTAGCCTTTAGCCAACGGCCGACACTCTCCTGATAGGTAGACTAGCTTAGCTTAGCTACAACAAAACCTCGACTCAAATTGGTCTGCATGGTGTCTAACAATGTGCATGTGCGTTTTAAACACGGCAGAAGAGAATAAACACCGGTGTATATCTCTTTGTGTGCCTGGTTGTGGCTACAGCTATGCAGCGGTGCTGAATGGTGTGGTAGACTGAAGCTAGCTAGCGGTAAATACCGATGTATGAGTGCCCAGCTAGCATAGCTCCAGAGCCAAACAACTACGAGTTCATTAGCAGCAGGAGCATTTTTTTTTCTTCTGGCTAGCAGAACAGAGGATTCATTCCTGCCCTGCCAGCGCGCAGCCTGCTGGCATTTTCTCCGTGAAAAGTTCAGATCCCACAAGGAGACACAAAAGCCACTGTACCTGGTTCTCCATGTTTCTCTGGCCTCAGTGATTGTTGTATTTATTTACAGCGGCGTTTGTGGAGCGTCTCCCCAGCCTCTGCTCCTCATTGTGTGTCAATCCAGCCCAGAAGCGGAAGGCAGACGGCTCCCCTCCCCTTCCAGACGGCTGCTGGCAGGCAACCAAAACAGAAAGCTCTCTCAGCCAATCAGAGAGCGGGAAATTTAAGCACTCTTGAAAGAAGCCAATCGGAGCGCTTGGGAGGCGGGGCGGTCGCTGAGCTGCAAATACAATTAAAGCATTTTCTGGTGGTTTTCTCGAGTGACAGCGAGCTTGTCCCAATGGTTACAGCTCTGTTTCAATTGTAAAATGCACATGACGCTAATTGATTAATCGGTGTTCGATTGCATGGCTTTCACATTTAAGCGTATTGCTATTAGTCTGGCAAATGCAAAATCAATAATATGAACAATGAGTTTTATATCTTACTCATGCAACTTGTAATTGTGCATATTTTGGATTTGAACCTTAGTGCCATCTTAAATTTGCACTCTTACCTACTTTGTACTCCGACTGCTGCACAACAATTTCCCTTAGAACATTTTTAAAATCTCTTATCCTATCTTAATGTGCCACAAAATGTTTACAAAAATATATTATTATTGTCAATATGCTAAATTTTCTAAGTGCACACTTTCCCATTTTTATGTACATAGTCTGCTACACTGAGTGTGTGTGAGCTTTCTGATTGACCTAAGGCCAATGCCTCTGTGTCATAAACCAGTCTTGTAAAACCATAATAAACTCACTATTGCTCAGGTACAGTGCTTAAGTACAATTTTGGTGCATTTAACTGGAGTATTTCCAGTTTATTTAATCTTTTTAATCTCTACTCAGCTACATTTCAGAGGGGAAATATGATGCTTTTTACTCTACAATCAACACTCAGTTCCACCTGGACTGGCCACATTAAAGTAACCACCTGCTTACATGTAATGCATCAAAAATAATCATCCAAAAACATAACATCATATTGTCAGGGGGACATTCATGCATGCAAAATCAATATTATTGATACTGTAAGTGCATTTTTTTCTTCTGAATGAGTATTTTAATAGTGTCCTATTGCCACTTATACTTGAGCATATTATCTCATGTCTTTAATCGCTTGTGACAAGCACATTTGAATATCAGTATAATTTGTATTAATGAGCAACAAGCTACTTCCTTATCTTTTCCCACAAACATGGCAGCTTTCTTGAGAAGATAATTTGATTGTATCCTAATGTTAATGTGTCGCACATGAATTAATCTTAAGTGATGCATTTTCTGCATCACTGAGATAAAGGATTTCTAAATGTGTCTATCTGAATTCATGTGTTATAACCTCGCACACCACAGATAGTTACACTGATTTCGTTTAGCCTCTGCTTAAAATCTGAAATGTTTAATCTGAGCAGAAAGCAGTTCGTCCCCTGATTGAAGACATCTCTTTTATACAGAGTCAGTGAGTGAGGGCCCATTGCAGTCAAGTCTCTGTGGTGCTCAGACTTTGATGTGAGATTATCGGGCCTCAGCTTCGGGACAGAAGGTCACCACTCTCTCACTGGCTTGGTGCCTCCCCTTCTTCCCCTGCCGCTCAGACTGATCCAGTCTGCCTCTCAGTCAAATCTGAGTAAAAGAAGTCCCACCTGGCTGTCAGACAGGAGGGTGTCCCACTGGTATTGAGACATCAACCTTTAAATCCTCCCTTTCAATATACAAGGAGAGGGAGAAGTACAACATAAAGCCATGCTCCACAGGTTTCACACACATCATAGAGTTTTATTATAGAAAAAGAACAAACTTAAAACTTACCAACAAATACAATTCATGAAAAAAAAATCAAGAATGTTCAGTAGATATTACAGTACATCACTTTCACTTGATAACAAAAATTCTTCAGTCATTGTATCCTGCATTGGAAGATGTAATAAAAACCTGAGCAAACATTAAATACATTTGATAAACAATTTGGGGGGGGGGGGCTGGGGGGTCTCTCAAGACTTCATAGCAGCATATCTGCAGACACAACTGGTTTGTCAGTCCAGGACAGGCTGCATTATACATCTGGCCACCCTGCTTCTCTACAAACTGTGTCTGAAGTGAGTCAAATATGCTGCAACAAATTATGGATGATGCATCTCATCCATCAAACAGATCGCAGCTAAAAACATTTTTTTTAGGCAAATGTGGAGCAGCAGTCTGTAGGCACATACAAAGCTTCTTCAGATATTCTAGTTCTACTATTATTAGTAGTTCCCCCCCAAACAATACTGACTTATCCCCTCAGCAGACAGGAGTTCAGTATAGAACAGTCACATGTAGAGAATGGCTTGACAATGTATTTGCAAATGATCACTGACAAATGTTGTAGCTCTTGCTGCTTCCACCTCTGTTGTCTGCTTTTGAGTAGCTTTGCTCTCAGAGTCTTTTCAGGCCATTCACAGTGCTCCTGTGTCGGCTTGGATGCTGCCATCGCTTCCATCTTTGCTGGGTTCCTGAAGAGAAAACATTTGGATGCACGTGAGCTCTGTCATCATCTAGAGACACAATCCCTCTCCACAGATTCAAAATCTGGCATTTCTATTTTAATGTGTGGTGCAAGTAAATTATTTACTGCTTTCAGGGTGAACTTTACCTAAAATAATAAACAAAATATTGACTTCTCAGTGGGAAACTAATTAGTGTAGCAAATAAATAAATAAAGACATCAGAAAATCAGCTATTTAAACCTTTCTGAATGGAATAAATGAAACTACTACTACTACTTCACTGCTATAACTCATTACAATGTATTATGTACATGCTGCTCCTGCAATCAGCCAATCTGAACTGACAAATTAGGGCAATAAATACACAAAGAAGCAGGTAAAACAAGATTTGCACTACTTGGGCTGCATTTCTGGAGTTAAGTTGTATTTTCAGATGCCTGTGTCAGTCAGTAATGAAGACTGATTAACTGATTTTGACAAACACATTGCCAAATATGCAATACTTATTTCATAAATCAGCATTGAGATTGATTGGAATGATTAATAAAGTTATGAAAATTTTTTAAGTTAACTAAAAAAAAAATGAGCAGGCTTATAGTGCTACTGAGGCCACTTGGGTTAGTCTTTGTTGGCATGTTGACCAACCTCTGTCACATGAGAGGTCTTGATCTTCTTCCTTGGGGGTATTGAAGAGTCTGGACTGGACCTTGACGCAGCCTCAGTCTCCTGTGGAACCACTATTACCTAAAATAGAGAGGCAACAGTTATGTGTTTCTGTTTTACTTTTTAAAGCCACTGTGCATTTTACTGACTCCATGATCACTGAAATATTGGCCAGGGCCTTTATTTTGCGTCGGGCAGCCTCACCCCTCCAGCTTTGGTCAGCTTTCTCCTGAAGTCTTTTGCGGGGTTGCTGAACGTGAGCGTCTCACTGCGCAGGTGGTCACCTTCGGGCTCAAGGATTAGGTTGTACTTGAAACACACCTTTTTTGGCTGCTCCTGGATGAAAAAAAAAAAAACAAGAGTATTTTATTGATAAAAAGTCTCTTTCTACATTACGGTGCTACATACAGTCACCTCTCAATACCAGCATATTTCACAACAACAGATAAAAGATCAATGAGGGAACTATCACAGTAGATATCCATAAAATAAATACACACAGCTGTTTCATTTCAGTGTGCTGGCTCCGGCTAATATTCCTGAGAGAAACTTAGTTGCAGAGAGGGGGACAATTAAGTTGGCTAAAAGGTATAACATGCTCTTGAGAAATTTCATTCACAAAAATATCTTGTTTATTTGGACTTTTCATTCCACTTCACCTTGTTCTGGAAGAAAAACTCAATATGCATGAGGAAGCCTGCAGAGCCCATCACCACCACTTCGTATGGAGGCTCCCTGCACACTGCAGATAAACACAGACATCTCGTTAGACATACTGGTTGTTACAGTGACATTAAACTAATATTATTCTGAGCACTAGGTTTTGTGTGTGCAGGAGGCAAAGCAGTCATTTTTCTTTCCTTTTATAAAAAGAGGGGGCAGCAAAGCTAACAACCTCCCATGACCAATTTCCTGGGGAAAAACCTACACACTTCTTTTGTGTTTTTAATGAGTTATTCTGCACTTTTTAATACATTTTTTGTAGTACATAAAGCACTTTGAACTGCCTTAGTGTATGAAATGTGCTGTATAAATGATTTTGCCTTGTGGATGTTCAAAAATTATTACTTCGTCATACCTCTCTTGGGTTCGGGGTAGCTCTTAGGCAGGTGGAAGACAACTTTTTCTACAAAGTGCTTCATGTTCACAGTCTGTGACCCTCTGACAAAAACAGTCAGGTTGTGGGTTGAGTCTTCTGATGCTTCTTTCTCTCTTAGTTGGACTCTGTGGCCCAACACCAGATTGACCTGAACTTCACGCTGAAAGGGACAAAAACAGAAGAGTAAAATACTGCACTTTATAGGACAGAGAAAGAATGAGGAGGACATACACATTTACATCCAATGCCAAAGATCATCCTTACACAGAGACAGGAGGTATGATCACTAGCTGTTATCACATGACCACGATTCAATACTTAAGTCATGTGATAACAACTAAGGTATCTCCATGACAACTGAGCCCACTCCGTCCACAGATTCAGACACGGATATGCAGTTTAAAAGTCCAGAAAAAACAGATAAGTGGCCCTTCAATTAAATCATAATAGCGGTTGTGTTATGATGAACAGCCAAACTGTCCCAGCAAAATCCTTCATCACAACCACCCATTTATATATATGTAAAAAATGCCATGAATAGAGTTAAATCAGGTAGTTGTGTTGGACAGCAATATGTCACAGGGAGCCAGAGGAGAGTCCCAAATAGCTTATATATATATTACAGGTCAAGTGTTTAATATTTAGTGCCATCTAGTGGTGAGGTTGCAGATCGCCACCAACTGGAATTTCTCCCATGTGCCAGACTAGTAACCACAATGGTGGCTGAAGCGGAAATGCAAATGGCCCAGTGTTTGGTTGCTCTGTCCTGGGCTAGTGTAGAAACAACATGGCATACTATGTGGAAGCAGGTCCCCAGGAGTCGTGCCGAGCTTCGAAACCAATTTTCCCAGTAGCCAACCAGTGGAACTACATCTGTAATGTGATGCCCTTTGGCCCCAAGAGACTTTTTCCCATAAACTTTCATAGCAAAAGAGAGTGGATACATATCTTTTAGCATCACAACCCCCATGAAATGACTCATTACACAATCAGAATTTGATCCATTGGGACCATAACATTTTCAAAGTCCATCAGAAGCACATGATTAAAATATTTTATCCGCATTCAAGGTAGCGGAGCACTAAACCAGACATAGCCAGCTAGACTGGCAGAAGCAGCTCAGCCTTGCAGCAAATTTTTCTCAGTGGCCACTTGCAGTATTGCAGTCAAAATATCCCCTGCAGCCCAAAAGGGATTTCTCCCATAGACAGTACAGGGCTGACATGATATGTCAAACTGCAAACAAGGTCAATTATGAATCTTTATATTTTGAATTTCTGAGCCATGGTGGTTTTATATTTGTTGAACTTTGCTCAAGCCAAGAAAAACATTTAAAAATCTGTGACATCATCTCAATGTACAGTCTATGTACCGAGTGGGAACTCACAGGCAGGGCCAGCAGGAGAAACAGTACTGAGCATATACAGTGGGCTGCATAAAGCAGAAGTAAACCCAAAAGCTAAAATACTTTTTTGGCATATGTGCCAAGCGAGCAACTCCATTAGAATGAAAAGGAGCCATCTTGGTGTCCGGTATTTAGTTATTATTAAAATCGATGGACAGAAGTCTCTAGTGCTCCTGTTTTATGGGGTGTACAGTGCGAAATCCGGTCATCCAGGTCATTTTACCTGGCAGGTGGAACTTTTTGGGCTTCATTCGCCAGTGAGCAACTTTCACAGGAATACCCAGGGCCCTTCCTCCAATGCTGTATCCAGGACTGTTTAAATCCATACATGAAAGAGGACCTGCTCCTACAGTGTATAGATACAAACAGCTCACATACTAAGGTAATAATGGGACTATTATTAATTGTGGCAGGTGGCAATACACTAAGGAAAAAAGTACTGAATATTATATTCAATTTCTGTGAATATATCCAACTAAATCCTCCACACTGATAACGGTATATCCTGATGTATGAGTGTCCTGCAAACATGGCTCCAGAGCTTAATAAAGTTCAGATTTTTTTAAATACACACACGTTACAGTAACGTTACCTTGGGGTCCATGTTTCTTTGGCAGTATGTGTTGCCCCAGCCTCTTCTCTTCAATCCAGCCTGGAGCTCCCCTCGGCCCCCTCCGCTTCCAGACGACTGCTGGCAGGCAAGCAAAACAAAAACGTTTCTCCATTTTCTTCACTTTTCTATTGGACTTGTTATCAACAAGCTGAATAGGGACACCTTGTATGCAGGTGCCAACTTTATTTAGCTGTAAATACAGCAGAAAAGACAGTAATGCATCACTATCAGTTTTGACTACTGCTATTGTCTCCCAAGTTACCTGTCAGGGCCAACTTCCTCTTCACGCTGTCATGACACAAAATAAACTTGCAGTCTATTAAAGCTACAAACGTAAGCCAATCTCAGTCGCCAAACATCCATGTTACATTACACAGCAGTTACAAACTCCGCTAACTGCAACGTAGACACACAGCCTGCATACAATACGTGCCGCTAGCTTCATGCTAGCGCCACTTTTTATCCTCTCACCCAAATGACCCTCCGAACATGAAAAACACGGCACCACGAACTACAATAAATCGTCAAACTTAAAAGAACATATATGAATATGGCGCTAGTGTACCTTCTCACCTGTGAATACAACAGAAAACACAGTAGTTATTAATTAGTCGTAGCTTTGACTACTGTTCCTACTCTTCTCTGACTACACCAACTTCCTCTATGGAAGACTAACAGTGCCAGTCGCCACCTCTGCATAGCCGCTACCGCCCTCTACTGGTGTAACTGAGTATCACCTTAAATTCTAATTGAAATCACAGAAGGTGAGTTATGCACTGTCTTTGAAGTTACACAGAGCCCTCAAAAAACAATAATAATAAAAATAATAATAGTGGGGGACCAAGGTTATACCATAAACTAACACAACGACAATTCCAGGGTGCCACATACTGCTGTCCTCGCTGTGAAGGAAATCTCAACAGCTTGTGATTAGTCAACTCGTGATTGAAGTTACAGGAGACCTCGCTGATTCAATTACTGATGCTCAGGGTCAGGTCAGGACAACATGAATGAGCAGTATAAGTGAGCCTCTGTGTAAGTCAATGCCTCCCAATTATGAAGGTTACTTCTTGTCGTGGAGTATTTGACCCTCTACTAGACCTGCAAGATTGACTAGTGTCCCATCAAGGTTATTCTTCACTCAGCTGTCTGTGTGAATATTCTATTGGCTATTGGATCCTAAATTATACTTACCTAAATTAACCTAAGTCACAGTTATGTCACTCATGGCAAGGCAAGGCAAGTTTAATTATAGAGCACTTTTCAGCAACCAGGCTACTCAAGGTGCTCTGCATAAAATATCAAACGCTTTAAGACAAGGTCTCAAAGAAACACATTATAAAAGGACACTTAAAAACAATTCATTAAATAACTTCAACAAGATCTCTGGCCTGGTCTGTGATGTTTTAACATTGCCAACTGAAGCTGAGCACTGACTTTTGACTTCTTCTCCTTGGCTCCAAAAGCAGTTACCTCAGTTTTGTTTTTGTTTAATCAAAGAAAATCGTGGCACATCCAACTGATGATACTGATGTCATGTCACATGCAGAGCATTTCAAGTGGAGACAGTGTCAGTGTGTTGCGGCAGAGTGCAGCCAACCTTGGTCCCCAGGGGATGGAGACAGCTGCCTTATCAGGACAGCTGCACTGACCAGTCATCCCTGGGAGACATGGTGTTAAATTAGAAAGCAATATTAAATAAACTAAATAGCAGTATTGTACTGAAAGAGACAGTGTATGATGACCTTCTCTGAGATTTGCAAATGACATGAACATGACATGACCTGGGAAACTTCAGCCGACAAACAGAACACGATAAATCAAAATTACACACAGCAGTACATTATGACATGTTATTTGCATAGGTGTACATTTTTGGGTGGATGCAGGGGACATGCCTCCCTCAATATTTAAAGCATGTGCATTTGCAAGCAACAGAGGACTTTTATTTTGACAAAATTGAAGACATATACACCACAAATCAGTGCAGAGAGGACACAAATTGGTGCATAAAAATTTACAAGAATGCAGGAAATGAAGTGTTTGACGCTCAATATTTTCTGGCAGAGGACCCCCAAACCCCCCATTTTTAATTTGTCCTCCCCATTGTTGAAATGAAACCTACGCCCAGAAATATTGCCATGAAGTGGACCTGCTCAGTGTTTTCAAATACGCCTACTGCCCACAATAGCCTAAATGTAAAAAGATAGATACCACAGTCACTGACATCTCTAGCTTTCTAGTTTTTCAATTGTCCATTTCTAATGTATTATCCGAACAGAAAGCAGTTCGTCTCCTGATTGAAGACATCTCTTTTATACAGAGTCAGTGAGTGAGGGCCCATTGCAGTCAAGTCTCTGTGGTGCTCAGACTTTGATGTGAGATTATCGGGCCTCAGCTTCGGGACAGAAGGTCACCACTCTCTCACTGGCTTGGTGCCCCCCCTTCTTCCCCTGCCGCTCAGACTGATCCAGTCTGCCTCTCAGTCAAATCTGAGTAAAAGAAGTCCCACCTGGCTGTCAGACAGGGGGGTTTCCCACTGGTATTGAGACATCAACCTTTAAATCCTCCTTTTCAAGGAGAGGGAGAAATACGACATAAAGCCACAGGTTTCACATCTATAATAGAGTTTTATTATATCTGAAGCAAAGCTAAAACTTATCAACAAGGATAACTTATAAAAAGAAGAATGTATATTCATGCTAATCATCATCATTAAATCGCATGGTTGTTCCATGCAGTTCCATCACAACTGGATCCTAACTTGCAAGGCCCTCAATAAGACTTTTTGATGAACAATGTGTATAAGACATGTCTCCATCGATATATGGATATATCTAGATTAGTGGGTTTTGGCTTGTAACCCCTTAAAATGAAGCAATGTTTCCTTCTGGACTCAGCAGGGCCTTAGTATGGACATAACTTGTGACTCTTTCATGTCCAAATGTTTCAATGTGAAAGATTTTTAGAGACCTGAGGAAAAAGATTTAATAAAAAATAAATAAAAATACAGACAAGTCAGACTAAGACTAAGATGAGCCACGCTAGCAGCTCTGTAAAGCTGTACTAATGTGCAACTGTGCCCTAAATGTCAGTATCCCAACATGCTAACAGTGACGATACTTACATGCTAATGCAGGTGTAATGTTTACCATTGAGACATCTTGGTTTAGCATGTTAGCATGCTAACACCTACCACTAAGCATTACAGTAGTTTAGGATGTTGGGAACGTCATTAGTTATGTCACAAACAAAAGCACTGAACAAATTGAAATTTTCACCTGATGATGGCGTCAGAGGATTATTAAAAGTCACTTAAATGCATCATGAGTTGGATATTCATTTCTGTAGCTACCAAATTTTAATGGCGATCCATCCAATAGATGTTGAGACATTTCACTCAAATCCACAAATGTCGACCTGTTTGTGGCGCTGTGATGAAAAGTCAGGGGATCATCAAAGTCATTTTGATTTATTGTCTGTACAAAATGTTGTGCCAGTCTATCTAGTAGGCTAGATACTTTCACAGGCTCAGTGAAAACTATGACAGGCTGGAGCCACTAGATTAAAAGTCAAAGGATTCATCCTCTGGCAACCATGAATGTCTATACAAGATTTCATGGCAGTTCATCTGATAGTTGTCGAGATGTATCAGTCTGGACCAAAGTGGTGACTGACATTGCCACCCATAAAGCCATGCTGATAATATGGCTAAATATTATATGGTGAGTCCTCAGATTTTATTTGTGTCCCTTGAGGAGCCCCCAGATTGGGAACCACTGATCAAGTTTTTCTGTATTACTTGAATATATCCAGACAGGGCACTTAAAAGTCAGAGACAATTGATTCTGAAATCAGAGCCATTTGAAAGACTGTTTTATTTGTTACCTCTTTCTTCTTATATCATCAGAATCCAGTTAATATTCAAAGATCACGTCTCTAAAAAGCACTGGTTGCTTTTGAACATCTCATCACCCACAGGAGGTTACTACTGAACATTGAAGAGCACGACAATGCTCATGTGCATTTCTTTTTGTAAGATTCCCATTGTTGTATCTATTGTTTCCTTCAGGAAGGATCATGTGAATGGAGGCACAATGTTCCTGAATATTCTCAAAACATCACCAAAATCAAGAGCTTTTTGAACAAAAGGGCTTTTAACAGTTCAGTGATGACTCAGTCGTACAAAAGAAACAGATTTGCATGTGATTGCTGTGGTCAGCCACAAAAATGCACTTTACAGAAATAGACTGGAGAATTATCAAAAACTGACAGATATTTGTAACTGAAATGTAAGAAATGGTTGAAATAATCAACCATCAGAAACAACAGCTGGACTTTGTACAAAATTAGACAAAACTCAGGTCAGGTTATGCAGCTCAAACTAGCTCAGAGGACAGAGTATATAACTGTGAAACCAACACATGTTGAGGTATTTTATAGCTCAATGTAAACAATTTTTCACCACGTACAGTACCAAATGTGCGTTCATATCCTGAAAATAAATAACAGCAAATAATTTATATACACAAAAACACAAGCGCTTAAATGCCAAAGACAAACTCTTCAAAATTATACACACAGTTTCTCTCATTTTCTCAGTCATTCAGGCTGCCTATACACATTTTATGAAACCAGTCATGTTGCAAACTCTTAATGTTTGACAGTCATCATCTCAAAATGTCTGTATTTGTTTTCCCATTAAAACAATAGTGTCTTGAAAAGAGAATGACAGATATTAAAATTACACCAATATCACCTCATGCTCTGCTTTTGCTTCTGTAGGCTATTAAAATATGAATCAATAGAATAAAAAATCAAAATGAGTATATTAAAATATTTTATATTTTAGTCTGATACATAAATAAATAATTATTTTGTCTCTGTCAACTGAAGATATTTGTATTAGCTCATGCAATCATTATTAGTGTAAAACATGGATGGATGATCAGACAATGGGCCTCTGGGCACAGACAGAAAACAAAAACATAATAAAAAATGTATAAGCGGACACCTATAATTAAAGGATTTAGATCTCACATCGTTTATATACGGTTTAATTTTGATTTTCAATCCTATGCTGTATTGCATATTTAATTTTTTGTATGTTTTTAAATGTGCAATCTCATTGTACAGATTTCTGCGGTTCCTGTTCAGATGACAATAAACTTGTGCCATCTCGACTTATGACTGAGCTCTTTGACTTTTCAATAAAAAACGTTCTTACCAGTCATAAAATTCAGACGCCTTGGTTTCAGCTGCCTGTATACTCTGTCACAACTATGTATGACAGTATGTGACTTACCAAAACAGATGATCTGACATTGGCCAGCTGTGCAGAAGTAAGGAAGGAGCCAGCAACCTGAACTGACACTAATAGCTCTGTCACTTTCCATATGTGCAACAAAGTGCAACACTTCCTGTCTGAAACGGTGCACCATTATCCCCATATTTAAATGACATATTGTCACCCAGCTCTATGATCGCCATCTCCTCCGTGTGAATGTTCGGGACAGCTATAAATACTCTTTTTCCAATGTCTGATGTTGTCCTATGAGCTAGTTCTGTACAGCATCATCCAACCCTGAGGTGCCACCTGACCCCTTGGGCTGGTAGGCCTGTGCCCAGTAGGTCCATTCAGTAATCCATC